GCAGTATCACAGCCCTCACAAATATCAAATGAGATTTGTGTGGCGGATTATTATTATTATTATTATTAATGGCTTTATTCAATATTATATTTTGGTACAATATAGAATTCTGAGCACAGGGTATTTCAACAGGTTACTTACGCAACAACGAAAATAAACAGTAACAAATGCAAAAAAAGGTTTCCTTGTACCAATGTCTATGTGTTAAAATAAATAAATAAAAATAAATAACAGTGAACATCTATTGAAAAAAATATTTCTGAGCTCGTTTTAATCATAATCTTGTTTAGCTTAAGTACTACTTCAAACAGTCATTTTTTCGTTTTGGCAAACATCACGTTTGTATCTACAGAGATCATCAGGTTTTAGTCTAAACTGTTCAAGAATCATTAAAACATTGAGTAATCATATAACTAATTAGTATAGGGATTTGTGAATTCACGAGTCAATTTAAATCAGACTAACATTGTAAACCTTGAGGCACTGGACGGCCAGGACCAGTGGAATTCAATCTATATGGGATAAAGATAGTTATTCAGTTCAGATAATGAATGAATGGTTACAAGAGATCATGGATCGATTAAAGTTAGACATTAATATCGTTGGATAACGGCTCAGTGATCTAGAGGTTAAAGGTTCATGAGCGAAACCAAAGGTTCCGGGTTTGATCCCTGCATGTGAAATCTTGGATGCGCACTGTTTAGAAGTCGCATACTAGGACAAAAACGACCGTCCAGCGCTTCCAGGTTATCAGTAGTGGTCTAGCTTAGGTTGGCTTGCGAATTCAACTAAATAAGTATTTATCCAATTGCCAATGGTAACTTTACATGAGATAATCTCATGATATAATCTCATCCCCAAATGCTCTGGTAAGACCGAGAGTGGTGAGAGTCAGCTTTACCTCTCGAAATGCTCTCAACTGCCCACGTTCATACAACCACTGGCAGGGAAGTCCTACTCACTGCGTTCTTGCGACAGGGGTGTTGTTTACAAAAATGAGAGGACAAAAAGTGAATGTCCGACGCCTTAACCGTGTAGGTGGGTAGGGAGGGAGTGGGAAAATCCTGATTCCAAGCCAATAGTGTACATGGGTTCCATGATCCTAAGGAAACTAATGTTGTATGAGCCAATTGTCGGCCACCGGGTACCTTAAGACTGCCTTATGGGTCAGTCCTTTAAATCAAAGGCTAGTGGTGTAGCCCCCTCTGAAAGCCACCTGCTTCGGTTTGGGTATCCAGGCAGTATCCAAACCATTACATAAATCGAATGATTTATATAGCGCATATCTATTTGGTGCCTTCTTGTACCAATGTTTATGGATTAAATAAATAAAAATCAGCAATAAAACACCAACAAATTTGTCTTTCTATCTATGGTTTTTTACAAGATGGACATTTGTTTAAAGATTTACACCCTCTTTTGAAAATTATCTTGTGCACAAAAGATGGTAAGTCAATCCGTCGAAAGAATACTTTAATATATACAAACATGTTTTATCTAAAGCTGCAATAGTTATGATTTAATAATTACGTAATTGAATTCTTGAACAGTATGTCAACTAACATTAACAGATATATGTTTATGGATACAAAAGTAGTGGGACAATCTCGTACATGATTATCGATTAAGTTACTAAAATTAACGCGAATTAATAAATACGCATGTTTATAATATTGTCCTTGTCAGTCAGTAACAACGTAGAACTTCGTACGTTCGTACGTACATCATTTCGAGTTGCCAGACCATAATATTGTCCTAGACAAACTATTTATCGTATGCTATATATAACTATGATGTAGAAACTTTGATGAGGGATTAAATGTTTTAAAAATAATAAAGATGAATTATACATCTACTTTTATGCGTTACATGTTTCTCATTCTGACGATCAAATCTGTTTCACCTTATATCAAAACATTTTTGATTGAGATCATGAACTAATCAATATTAGGGAGGTAATTCTTAGAGTTCTAGTGCGGAACCGTGACTAATGAAGATAGTCTGTGTCGGATAGAGACAGGTATCTACCTCAGACAATGAAAGACAATGACGTTATATCGTGGATTATCTGAAGTTAGGCATTAACACCACTGAACACCGGCTCAGTGGTCTAGAGGTTAAGCGTTCAAACGCGAAACCGAAGGTCCTGAATTCGAATTCTGTGTGCGGTATCGTAGAATTCCCATACTAGAACGTAATGGCCATCCAGTTCTTGCAAGTTTTCAGTAATGGTTTAACATTGATCGATTCGTCATCTCACTCAAAAACTCAACAATCTTCACAACCTCATTACTGATCACATCGAATTGTTTGTGACAATAGATTCTTTGATGTTGGTTATTTCATGTGTTATCATTGGCCAGATAACTTTAGAAATTATTTTATTCTGGTTTCAAACTAGGTTTACAGTGATCACTCAAAACCTTGTCTTGATCTGAATACATGAGACATTCAGGTCACGTACATAAAAAGTAATTATGAGATCTCCAGGCATTTATGGAATGATCGATACTTTAAATTATAGTTCAATTTTTGTTACAGCATAATTAGGTACAGCATCGATTTTTTTCTGACATGTTACGATACATTTAAATACTTCCGCATGGAAGATAAAGCATTTTATTCATTAAAATGATAAAATTCTGACAATATGCTTTTGTTCCATATTTTAGCCAAGTAGAAATGTAAATTATACATAGAAATTACATAAGAACAACAAGAGATATAAATGTAAACAATATGACCGTAATTTAAATATAAGCAGATATGGATATTGGCTAGCAGTTGAATTCAGGACACATATTTCGTCCTAGTTGGGACTCGTTGGCTAGGTGTACCTGCATCTTAGAGTTCACATTCACTCTGGGACTCGGACCCAGTACCGTTCTCTTCAGACGTCATCGCGTTATCCACCGAGCTTTTGAGTCTTGATAGTCAGATAATCCCAAATAAAAAGAAACACATATCCTGGATTCCACTGGTATCCATCTTTGCTTGAAATGCTCGTGAGTTATGAGAATATAGAGGCAATACATATAAAGTGAACATATGTCAATATGTGACTGGTCAACTGAAGTCCTAAACTTCATAGGGACGATTCAAATAACCAATAAAATAATGAAGTAATTTAAATATGTTTCATAGTTTCGCTGTGTCTCATAGGTAATAAGGTAGGTTTATAATTTTCTTATGTCTTTATGGATATGAGTTTAGATAGACATTTGAAGTTCTCCAAATAACTGACCAATACCTTTTCAACAAATACAAACCATTCAGTTCATTCATATCATTTTCTTCGGATACATTCTGAAAGAATAATTCACATATACAGATGAAGTACATAAGGAGCACAACAATTTCACATTGATGCGTCTAACAAATATTATATACTACGACAAGGACAAGTTATAGGGGTTGAACTAATCAGAATCCTATCATCTAAGGTATTCAAGTTACTATTAAGATTGATGTAATTTAATTCAGTGGTAGTCACATTCTTAACAATATATCGAGAACGTAAAACTCTCCACCTGTTGAACGTTTTGTCTAGATCTTTAGGAATTGTTTTCTACAAAACATTCACTAATTTATTCTTGGATTGGTTGGAGTTAGAAATTAACACCGTTGGATGCCAGCTCCGTGATATCGAGGCTAAGCATTCTCTCACGAGACCGAATGTCCTGGGTTTGAGTTCCACTTGAGAGATCGTGTATGCACACTGCTGAGGAGTCTCATACTAGGAAGAAACAGCCGTTCAGTACTACCAGGTATTCAGTGGCGGTCTAGATGAGATCAACTCATGAATTCAGCCACTAAATTATACTAATTTATTATTTTAACTTCGAACTGAATGTATTTTTCCGCTTATTAGACATAAAGAAATACTAACAGTTGCGTTTCAGGCAAAGAATTATTGTGCTATTATACATTTCTTCACTAACACCGATACCTGGTTGATGTAGACATTGCTTGACAATTGTACCAAAATTATAATCACAAGCTAACCAAAGTAAATTTAACTTAGGAATCTCAACTGTTTACAAATTCAAAGTTTATGAATAACATTATGACTTATAACTGAATCTCGTTTCCTATTAGCATTGTTTTATAACATTATTATTTAGTAATCATCACTTCACAACATCCAACTAAACGTCTCAGTTCAACTTATATTTGATCAAATCCATTTGGTAAAGTCTTCTTTTGCAACATTTGTCATATAAAACATGCATTTTGCATTGTTTGTTTGAATGTTCACATTGATGTTTAAAACTTCCACTGATCCTGTACGGATTGCCTTGAGATTGCCTGAAGTCACAAGGATTATAAGCAAAGATGTGTGGTGGGTAGCCATGAAATCCAGGACGCACGTTTCGTGACTTGGGTAATGTCGAGGCAATCGGCACACAAGGCACATATGTCAATAACAGACTGATCAATTACAGTACTAAACATCAATCGGAACATTCAAACAAATAATACAAAATG